TGCGACTGAGATTCATGCAATACATAAAATCAAAAAGCGACACGACATAATCAGTATAGGGTAAGCCACAGCTACTGAATTTCATTTTTTCTAAGCAATTTTCTAAATTCAACCTAAAAAAATATTTCCTTAGAATAAAATAACCTTGATATTCTCGTGAAGGTGTTCGTAACTTTCAGGCTTGGTCATCTTGAAGTCGTCTAAAAGAAGTTCACCAATCAGAGGAACAAAATCAACAAGTTCTGCATAATTTACTCTGAAAGATAACAAAACTCAATAAAACAGTTCTAAGAAAATAGCAAAAAGCCTACAATTTTTATAAATATAACTTGATCAATACGATATATTTTGTATTTCATACGAATTTTTAACCTACGTTCTCGCATCCCAGAATGGCTGTCCATGCTTCAGCATATTTATACGATCAATAAAAGCTGCCTTTTGTTCGTTTGTGTATATATTTGATGCCAGAAAACTATCAGCTGCTGTCCAACCATACTGCGACGCAAATTTATAAAAACATGAATGCGTATTATCCATACTGCGAATGGTACCATTAACCAATTCACTGGGTCGCTAGAAAATTACATGTTTTAAATAATATTCCACAAAACTAGTTTATAACCAAAGCTGTATTGAAATTATGTAAACAAACATTTATAATATTTTAATTTTTTCGGTATATACGAATTCGTTTTTGCTTTTTTTCTTACATGGAAAAATATGTGATGATATTTTTGATCTAAAATCAACTAACAAAAAAGTACAGTACCAGATCGTTATATATGAAGCGCATTCTAGTTAATAAAATAAATGAAAGATTGAAAGCAAGAGCACGTTGTCGTTCATCATCCATATCCAAACCTTCTGCAGGCCGTTCACTTTGTCCATTAATCCTGCAAATTAATTATCTCAATCTTACACTACCAATTTAGAACTGGAATTTATTATTTACATGAAACATAACAATCTTTACACATCAAACCCATTTCAAAAACTAAATTTATAGAATTCATTAATTTGTTGAGAGAAAAGAGATGTAACAAAAGCAACAGAATAGCCGGGTTCTGGGAAACAACCAAGTACCAAATAATTTGTACTGATAATAAATAAAAATTTGAAAAAACTCCAAAAAAAGAGATCAGAGACGAATTTACATTGCCAGTTTTGAACTGAAATATGTCAAGTTGCCGTCAGCGCAAAATGATGCACAAACAGAATCAAATGTGAAAAGTCCTCCACTACCACTAGCAAGTTTCAACAGAACATTGATCACAGCATTATTCGGCTGTCTTAATATCTGAAGTGAATATCTTACATATACATACTTCATTTTTGAGAAAACAAGATGGAAATTTATATAAAACAGAAAAAACCTTATCAACAGCCATTTTAGCAGAATTTGCTCTTAATATCAAAGGTTGATGAACAGGAGTTGTAGACGTTTGAGCAAACATTTGGAAAAGCTCTGGCCAATATTGCGACCTAAAATCCCATCTAAAATCACTCAATAAATTATCGACAGGAATGACAGAACACATACATATCACTTTATAAAAATAAAGAAAAATTTTTGCAATTTAACTTTGATCACATTCAAAAGTAAAGCACATTAAAATTTCAATAATCAATTGCTTGCTGTTATTTATCTGATTACTCTGATCAGTATACCTTTTTTCTAATAGATTCTTTACAATACGTTCATCAATAACACCTGCTGCAGCCATCTGCTCCAATAAATGTTGAAATGTATTTGTTTTTGTTTTCATATCTACCTGTGAAAAAAAACAATATTCATCAATTAAACAAAAAATTGTAAATGAAAGTTTCACTAATTCAATTTACATACACTACAGAAGTTATGGACAAATTTATTTCCCAGTACCTTCAATATGTAGATAATAGATTTGATGCGAAATGAATGCTCCAAATTTAAATACAAAAACAAAACTATACCTGATTCAAAAGTGTTTTATTATCGCAAATTGTATCAAGGGCAGAAATCAAGTCGTCAAGTGGAGCACCAAGAGTCAATAAATGCTTTACGATCTGCGGAAGCTTTACATAATAAAAAGCTTGGGATGCAACAAGGTCTTCACCTAGTGATTCTTTGGCATCAAGCTGAAAACTTCATATCTGCTTATGCAAGAGTGAAAAAATTTTCTCAATACAATGAAGGGATAAAATGTACATATTTTCCATGAAATTTTGTGGAAATCAGCTATAATAAATTTATAATTAAACCATTATCAATAAAGATGCACGTATCATATCCTCAAACATTTTTGAGAATGGAAATTCCAGAATTTCAGCCAGCTCGAAAAAAGAATCCGCCATTTGATCTACTTTCTTCGTCATTCGGAAACCTTCGAAGACGGACACCAGCGTCAAGATAGCTGGATGTGACTTCAAAATGATCAAATTTAGTCATTATTGTCTTTTAATTGCTAGACATTTCAAGGTTTGAATTAATAAGAATTAAGAGACTTAGTAAACTGAAGACAAAGCAATTAAAAATTGCACTAAAATAAAAACTATTTTGCATACTTGTTTCACTGAACCACCAATATTGTCGTCAATCCGTTCTATAGGTATAGAACCAAATTGCTGCAATGCTTCAATCATTGTTTTTAACTCTTTACAGTCAGGATAACTCTGCGCAAAAGAAACAGCAGCTTCGACCACATAATTTACACTTTCTAAAAATTTGAAAAAACAATATAAAATAAATATGATTGCTTTATTAAAACTGCAACATTAAATACTTGCAGGAAATAAAGATTCTCAGAATAAAAAAAAAATCATTTTTAATAATATAATCCATACAATTTTGTAATTCAGTTATGGCAAAATGACGAAACATACACATAAAAAATGGAAGGATTTTTCTGATCCACAAGAAGAAAAATTTCATGAACATAAAAGCTAACCTGAACCAATATGTTCATGAATATATAGCAGTGTTCGAACAAACTTGCTATTTGCATATGCACATGCACAGTTTATCAAGGCCAAAGTACTACACTCATTTTCGTTTTTGAGCGAATATTCTAAAGCCAGTAAGCACCAATTAAGAACGGTCATCAATGAACCCGATAATTCTAAGCACTCCTTCTCCGACGTATAATTGCACCTAGCATATGAACAGTAGTTATCTAGCAATAAAAACTCTGTTTTTATTAACAAAGGTTGAAAAACTAGCATAATTATTTTAAAAAAAGGATTTCAAACATTACCTTAATAACGGTACCGAATTCCGTAAAATTGTGGCTAAAGCTTCAATGCAGTATTCACGCGAAAACTGTCGAAATTCAGCGATGACATCAATGAAAACAGCCCATCTAAGTACCTTAAAACCAACGTATTTCAATCATTTCTGTAAATAGCCGCCCACAATAATTACTCAATTTGTTTTAATATAACAACCTTTTGATCTGTGCAATGCTAAGAATTTCATAGAGTAAAGAATGCTAAGTAATTAATTTATTAGAATGATAAGAACATAATAATTTGCTGGTTAGAAAATTTTCTAAAACAAATGACAAAAAAAAGATTATGAAGAAATCACCAAATGTACTGAATATAAGCAATGAACAAATAAACGACTTTATTAATAATTATTAATACTCCTACAAACAATTATTAATATTACCTACGAAAACAGTGAATAATACTTACATCTGCTTTAACCAATGTTTCTAAACAAGTAAGCATCCGATGATCCGGCGTTACTGATGACGTAGCAAAACGAAGAAGCATGGCTGAATACAAGAACATGTGCTTAAGATCTTCATAAAACCGCCTCATATTCCTTACTTAACTAATCACTACCATGAATTTTGTTAGTTTGATAAAATAACTATGAAAATAATGAACTTATATCAAGTCATCATATGTTTCTGAATTTTGATAAACCTAAAAAATGGCAAAAAATTACACGCAATTGTTCTGATTTGTTGCTCGTTACATCCAGATGTTGTTATACGTCTCTTCAGAAGTGCACCAAATTCGATAGGTGAAAGTTTTTCAGAATGTGTCCGAGTTACCAAGTTTGCCACCCAACTTCCATCTGTTTGTGCCTTTTCTTCATTCATCACTCCCATCGAAGTTTACAATTGAATTGAGAAAATCTTTAAACTGACATTGATCACGTAACTGATAGCTAAATTTAAATCACGTTAAAAAAATTATGCAAAGTTAGATTAAGCAAAAAAAAAGAAAAGACATTTAGTAATTAAAATATATAACAATAAATGTCAAATTCAGGATTTTCAAATTTCAATACATCTAGACTGCGCTATAAATATTGTACAGCGTATTGTAAGTAATGCATATTACAGGTAACTAAAACCAGCTGCAGCACGTAAACTACAAGTAAATAGAACCCAGCAGTACTAATTTTAAATCTTATAAACGTTTTGTAAATGATAAAATGTCAGAAGAGAAAGTAAGGATTCAATTTTTAGAAGAGAAAGAGAGTCGTTATGAAAAAATTTCGTTTCGACCAAAATTTGCATATTTTTAATTAAGTCACTAATTATGTCGATTGCTTTTTGTCTGCAGAATGAAAATTATGGAATTCTACAAGTCGATTTTATTTGACTGTGCGATGCAAATTTAAAATTGGCATTTTATTTTCAGTAATGAAAAAATTCATTCAAATAGTATATTTTGTAAAATTTGCATATTTTTAATTAAGTCACTTGAATTCACAAAATATGCAATAACGATAGCAGTATTTTGAGTTTAAATTAAACTTGCTCATTTAACTTCCAATAATTTTTCATTTGTAATCAGAAATGCCTCCAAATACTAATTAAAAATTTATAAATGCTTTTCTAATCACATTTATATGATTGAAATTCATTAAATTTACTATAAAATTCTTTAATAAATTTGACTTTCTACTAAAATTGGGGGAAAAATACTGCATCAACATTACTTTCACTTTATTTGTACGTTTTTCAAAAAAAATCGAAAAATCAAACTGTTTGTTATACTTTTTATTAAGACAAATGTTTGTTCGATGAAAATTATGTTAAATATAACATTCAAACTTTTTGCTTCATTAGCTTCAGTATTAACAAATTTTGAATGTTTAGCTCTTAGCTAGCAGACTGGATTAAAATACGAATTGCGCCTAAAGAATGGACGCAAAAGGAAATTACGCACGTATGAGTCGACGCCATGCTCGAAAATTACGCCATACTTCCTGAATTTATAGACTGCAAAATCTTCTTTGTTTGCGTAAAATATTTTTACAATACAAGTTATAAATATTCTTTACAATAAAATTCTTAAACAAATATCCACTTGTGATTCCAATTACTTTAAAAGAATAGAAATAGCTTGTGATGGACTTCATGTTTATTTACTTAACCACTGAATAAATCCAAGCTCCATTGTATAACAAACTGTACAATGTTACGTTATGTTCTACTGTCACTAAATGTTCAAATTTTCGATAATTTTTTTACATTGCGAATTTGATCCAAGCAATTTTAATGTTTAATAAAATTTATAAGAATTGACAAAAATATTCAGTTTTGTATTTGTACAACATTTTTTCAAGTAAAATTGTGCACTTTTTTGTTTACACAATTGTAATTTGCGAATTTTCTTGAATTGTTAGAGTTTTTGAAAATAAATTATTCATAAAATTTTCAATTAGCATAATGTTTGTTAACAAATATTAAGCTAATTAAAAATTATCATGGCTAATTTCGGACTTATTCCAATTGAATGTATTTTAAAGTAAGATAGAAATCCTGCAAATTATTAGTCCAATATTTCTGTAGTTATGAGCACAATAGTAAGAATATGTTTTTGCTTAAATCATTGTGAACTTTTTCGAATTTTTAGATAAAATATTTCAAATATCAATATGCATTATAAAATACAAGACCTCCAAAATGTATAAATGTAGATTTTAAATTATATTAAAAAAACTTATTTTTGGTAGCAGAAAAATTTAGTCATTGTATTTATTGCAAAAGCAGAATGACTAAATTCATAAAAATTAAAATAAAAATTGAATTATACATGGAGGCATTGCTTTCAAAAATATTTTTAAAAATTGGAGAAAATTACACTTAAATACTTAATAATTAAATTATTGAAATTTGAAAGTCAAGCAAATTCACCAAAGTAACTTCAGCATTTTACTATGGCTGAAGA